CCCCCTCTTTGTCCTTCTTCCTCATTGCCTCCAAAATTATTTTTGGTTTAAGTTATATATATGTGCATTGAAAATAGGTGATTTTTATTTTATTTTTTACAATAAATGTTTTTTAACGTATGATAGCATACATGTTAGTTACTATTTTTATCAAGCAAATGGAGTAGAGAGCTTATTATTTCTTTCTATTAGAGTCGCGAGCTTATTGTAGTCGATCCCAAGCCGCTTTCCCTCCCTTCAACTAGCTCCAACTCCTTATATTATATATTATATATCAATATAGAGAGCAAAATATAATTATTGCAATTATTTGTTGCTTTAGTTTTACTGTTCCTTGAGCCGAGGTCTATTGAAAACAGTCTCTCTATCTTCATAAAATAAGGGTAAGGACTGCATACACATTACCCTCCCAAAACCCTACTCGAGGGATCATACTAGGTTTGTTGTTGTTGTTGTTTTAGAAGAGCAAAATATAAGAAATGTGATATTTCAACATATTGTGAGAGACATCTTTCATTTTTGTAATATAAGTTTACTTATAATTATTATATAAGTGATACAATTGTGTAAATATTTTTTATGCAGTCATTATATAATATTTAAATTAATTTTTTTTATGCCATTAATTAGTTAAGGGGGATGCGAAGAGCTAACGTTGGATTTATGTCTGCCTGTGGAATCAATCATCTTTAAGAAACATTAAACAAACTTATCTGTCACATGACTTGCTAGCATGACTACTAAAGTATTAACTTGATAAGCTCGTTCATATTTGTTTGACCATACCATTTTTGGAAACTTTATATTCAAAGTAAACACTCGATTTTGCATTTAGATAATTAGGTTTCTAATTAAATCCTAACCTACTATATTTATCTTCTCACCAATCTATGGTATCGTTATAGATATTGTTTCTGTCCCAACTTACATGGCACATTTTACTTTCCGAAATTCAAGTTATGTAAATTTTAACCGATATTTTCTTATAGCTTTTGAATATTCATATTTTAATTTTAAAATATTGAGTTGATGTAATCCAATTTAGCTTCAAAAAATTAGTCAAATTGACTTTCGATAAGTTAAAATTTAAAAGTGCCACATAAATTGAAAAGAGGGGAGTAAGTAACAACAAGAACTTTTAAGCAGAGAGAGAGAGCCGATGAAAAAAGGCAGCCCGGCCCCGGTGTACAAAATATCCTACATTTACACGGGGTCCAGAGAAGGGCGCACCCCAAAAAGTGTGATGTAGACAACCTACTTTAATGCAAGTATTAGTGGCTGATTCCACGATTTGAACCCGTGACTTATAGGTCATTTTTATGACCTAGGAACGACTTAGGAAATATGAAGCTGCCACACTTAGAAATTAGATTTATATATCAAGTTAAAATATCCCATACCCTTCAGAAAAGATTTCTACTTTTTATACCTTTGCACCCTGCGAGTTCCTGAGCCTCCCCCTACCAAAATAGTAAGCCATCCAACTATTAAACAGTCCAATTTTATCATCTTTAAAGTTAGTGTTTTTCCATCCCAAAGGAAACAGCCATAGCAAAATAGAGGACAACAGTAATACTGGTACTAAAACTATGACTTTAACTAATTAGCTGATACCAAAGATTTCTTGTCATTCCTCCACATTCACAAGCTCATACTCAACAAGGGAGAGATTATTACCCTGTTTCACTTCAAATCCAGCAGTTTCAGTAACCTCGATTCGTCCCCATTTGTCGACTGCTAGTCTCATGGTGTTCTTGAACATGTCAATCTTGGCATTCCGAAGAATGACAGTTGCATCAGGCTTCATCAGATCGACTGACCACATATCAAAGTTAAGCATCAAACAAATTTTCGTTAACACAACAAGAAATGATGTCAAATATGTAAAGATAAAAGAGAATTGCTGGATTCCTTGGCAGTTTAAAGTAAATGATATACAAATAAGCCACAAGAGAATTGCTTCAACGATTAAAAGGAATTAAAAGTCAACTGTTTGTACAAAGAAAGACACTGTGATCACAAATATAGACTCGAAATACATCAGAGGCTAAGTAAACAGGAAAAGAGAGAGTAAAGACACACAACATAGAAAATATCGTAGAAAACTAAAATTAGAAAGACCACTACATAGCAGTGCCAAATATAAAAAATTGTATTGCAAGAATGTTATATGCTCTGAAAGGAGAAGGAAGTGAATTTAACATCAACTGAAGAAATTAATTTTTCCTCAGAAAACACAGAAGAGTATCAACAATAGTATGAAGCCTTGACATACAAAGGGAAAGCTCAAATGCGCTCAACGATAGGATGTTTTCCAAAAATACAGAACGGTCTTCAACTAACATTTTCAAGTTACTAATACACAAGGATAACAAAGAAAACACATATTTTCAGCTAAATTTCCCACTTCACACAAAAATGCAGTGCGAGTCTGGTAAAGAGCAATGATCCACCGGAAATTTCATAATACCAAAGAAGACAGAAGTTGCAGAGTTGATTTTGTACTGTCCCTAACAACTTTCTTTTACACCTTCTAGAAAATAAAAACTTGTGACCCTAGAATTTGTTTCATGCAAATATATAAGTTTCCAACTTTCTTATGAAACAATTACTATTGAGCAAAGAACCGTTCCTCTTTCCAAACATTTAAGGCCCTATAAATCAACATTAGCATACATAAATTACTATGTTAAATGTATTTGTCTCCCAGTTAGAGCCCTATAATAGACTTTTGAATGTATGCAACTTAGGTTGTGTGTTAAGTACGATATTAGACACAAACAGAAATTCTCCATACAATTACAGCAGCATCTATCATTCTTTCGAAGCGGCCAAACATATCAAAGATGTTACGATAGATAAGCATCACCTTTTTCCTTTTTCTTTGATCCTGCATCAGAACTCAAACATTAACCTAGAGCAGGTAATCGTCCAGTAAATTCCATGTTATATTTCCAAAAGTCCAAACGCTACAATCTTCTATTACAAAGGTTAGCTGCTTGTCTCCAACTTGATTGAAGATGGAATACAGAAAAAAATGTCTGAGCCTTCCGCAATAAGAAGGCGAAGGGAAAGTTATGGACAACAGAAGGTACAATTTGAAGCTCTGGCTCATGAAATGCTTTTGTACATTTGTGTCCAGGAAACAGGAGGTCCGAAGAAGTTCAGAAAACTTTCTCAACTTCAGCTCACATATGATGAAGAAATCAGAATTACTACTACCATCATACCGTTTTGTAAGAGCGAGTTCACTATGAGGATTGAAATCGATATATATATCTTTTGGAGAAGATTATACATTTAAAGCTAAGATGAAATACATCGCCAATTTTTCAACTAAAAGAACAGCCAAGTGAAGAAAGTTGTGGGCTTCTCAAATATCAACTAAGTAAAATAAAATGGGACCAAGTAATTACTAGTCATTAGAAGGTCTTTTTCTACCCCTTTTAATTGCACACAAAAAGAAAAAAATGTAACAAAGGAGCTACCCTCGCACTACCTCCTCCTTCCTCACTGTTATATGACATTGAAGCGAATGTATGATAAATGCAGAGAATAGGATCGCTTCCATTGATAAATGCAGATTTATCACAACCATACACCCACTAAAGAAAAAGGAATTATTCTCGTCTTTCCCATTCAACATGCACATTTCTCAATTTGGAATAAGAACAATATCCTCTAATCGCGAGAAAATGTTACTCTGCTCTACTATCATGTGACATATTATAAATTCAAAATTTAAGCACAAAACTCAATACTAGGAACAAATGCAAGTAAGTGGCAATGGGTGCACATCTACAACTTTCGACCATATACTGAGTATGATTACCCTCAGTATCCGCTAACTTAAAATTCTTCAATCTGCCTTTGTTTAGTGGTTTACATTTTGTTATTTTTTCTCAAACATTTTCCCCATAAAACAAAAACAAAAATGCCTGTAAAGAAGGGGCATATCCAATATACAAGTAGATGTTGGGTTAACTACTTATATTTTCTTAAACGAGAGAGACATCGCTGCCACAACTTATACATACACATCCAATTTTATAAAAAGAGTCCAAAATACAGCATGCCATATCAATTCACTAACCACTCAAAACCGGCACCCTAGGGTTTCATAACGGAATTCACACAATTATCAGCGCTCCAGAAAGCTTCAGTAACAAACAATGACTGAAAACTAAAAGTATAAAGCAGCCTACCTTATACGCTGGATACATTAGGTCTCTTTTGCATGTAATTTTTAAAAATACTACTAAATGTAACCATAGCCTAATCAAGGAGGTCTAATTTATCACAATATTAGAACTGGCACATTTCCTGATTTATGAGTCTTCCTAATGGCCGCACCCAAGGGTATGATGTAGGCAGCCGACCCTCTAGTGAAGCATTAGTGACTGATTTTACGGCTTGAACCAGTGGCGTATAGGTCACATGGAAACAACTTTAACGTTGCTCCAAGGGTCTTCTTTAGTCTTACGATCGCTAATTTAATAAAACAAATTCGTCTCTTTGACCCGAAAAATCTTATCGCATGCTAAAATATATAATTGCAACAACAACAACAAACTCAATTCAATCTCATAAGTGGGTTCTGGTGAGCGTATGCATACCTTAACCTACACTATAAAGGTAAAGATACTGATTCCGATAGACTCTCGGCTAGCCGATCAAGTAACACTAAAATATATAAGTGCATCTTTCCAAAAAGGTGATCGCAAAGTTCATCTGTTCGTACCTTGATCGTTACGAGCAGTGAAGAGGATAGTGCCGGTCTCATCACCGATCAAGCATTCAGAAATACGAGTATTACGTAGATGCGGAGACACCGAACGCCCCTTCTGCAACACAGTATTCGATTCCAGAACTTTCGCGATCAGCGTATGGCCGTTAGTTCCAGGCGTTAAATTCTCCACTTTTACGAAAACCGGCTTTCTTAAACCCGGTTTCGGCTTGTCCTGTGTTGAGTTTTCAGCCATTGATCTGATCTGAGCTTCACTGTAAATGTAGCTAAAACAAAAACTGAACCTTTCTCTTTAATGGAGAAAATGTGAATGGGTATTTGTAGCGTTTTTTCTTTTTGAAATTCGATTCGAATTCCCTTTCGAATTTTCTATTGTTGGGACTTCAGATTCTCTGTTTCGTAGGTTCAGTTCACGAGGAAATTGTGCAGTCAAACTTGTTGATTGACGAAAGATCATTACTATTCGCCACGTGGCTTATGCTAATTGAGTCTTCTAATTTTGGGAAATTTTCTATTCTTTTTCTTAAAGTACCTTTTGGAATTTTCTACTATGGTCTATGTTCATTTTATTTAGTCTGAATATATGAAAACTATTAGATCAAGCATAGTTATAGGTATGCTGTGTATTAAGTTTGCTGAATAGGGGAACCCAAGATTTAGAGGCAACGGGTGCATATTTACATTTAATCAAAAATTATTTTGTATATAGAGTTTTTTTATTTTTAATTCGTGTCAGAAATTATTTATATTTAGTAGTCGAAAAAATATCTAAAATTTATATAATTTTATATATATATATATATTTCGATTAGTATTTTGAGAGCGGCTATACAATATCATTTTTCTTTATATATATAAGGTGTCATTACTACGTTACTATTTTTTAAAAACATATATATATATATATATATATATATATATATATATATATATATATATAATTTTATCAAATTTTATGGGTACCGGTGATCCCTTATTTTATAATATAGGTCTGCCTATAGCTATCGGTCTCTTTCCGATGATGAAAGAACCTCATCCAAATAATCGTGCTAAACATTCTTCAGGCGTGGCTTATTATGACTCTGCCAACGGGAAAACTAATGCATGCACAAAATAATCAAGAATCCTCACTAAAATAACGTTTATGTAGTGTTTAGATAAGCCTATTACAAATTGAGTTTAAGTTATATGAATCGAAGGTTTTAAAATATTTATACAATTAGGCCAATCCTATAATTATAATTTACCGGTAATCTCTTAATAAGTATTAATTGGTAATTTGGTTAAAATGCTAACTAACCTTCTATCATATGTTAAAATTTATTGATAAATTTTTTTTATACAATCTTTCGGAAACAGACTCTCTACTCCCTCAGGGTAGGGGTAAGGTCTGCGTACACACTACCCTCCTCAAATCCCACTAGTGAGATTTTATTGGGTCGTTGTTGTTGTTGATTTTTTACACAATCTGTGGTTGTGCTCATTTAGGCTAGGGCTGTCAAATTTGGCCCAAACTCAAATAACCCACCCAATCCGCCCAAGATTGGGTTGATTATTGACCCGCCTATTTATTGAACTCAACTCATCTTGACCAACTCATCTCAACCAATTTAAAAGCTGGGNTATATATATATATACACTTTTTCGGCTACCGAATGTAAATAGTTTCTAGCGCAGACTAAAAGCGAAAAAAGTCCTTTAAAGTTGGTTAATTTTTAGCCCAAATTGATCCATGAGTAACTTTGCCAAAATATCTTAGAAATAATTTTTTTATTTTTTTGATATGTTATATATGACCATAACAATAGAACAAAAGTCTTATTTAGCATTTATATACTCCCATAAGAAAATACCACATATTAAGTAAAGTTTGGTAAGAGTTGGGCGGATTGAGTTATGACCCAACTTTAGTCTATCTTGATCCAACTCATCTCAGCTCAAGTAACTTTTGGGCGGGTCAAACACAGTTCATCTAAGCCCAAGTAACTTTTGGACGGGTCATTTAGTTACTCAGTCCATTTTGACCCGCTCAAAATCGGCCTAACTCACCTATTTGACGCCCCTAATTTAGGCTACGAGTACTAGACTTACTGGAAACTTGATGGAGATATTATGGAAAGTATGTGGAAAGTTGGAAGATATTAAGAGAGGGAAAGTGATCCATTCCTCCTTACCGATAAATGCTCCTTCCAATGTGTTTGTGGGGTAGCTTTAGATAGTTCAGTAGCTGCAATAGTCTAAATTTTTATGGGTATATTGTATGCAATTAGGTGATCAAAATATTCATGCATCTTAGGCTCTTGCTTTGAAGAGGCTTTGACAAAGACCTCGGCATTCTTGCTTATGTTATTAAGACTCACTTGTCTCCCGGGGCTTGAGCCTACTACCACAGATCCTGGAGAAAAGGCTATGCCTTATAGGGCAAGACTGCGGTAAAAGGATGTCCGTCTTTAGAAGCAGAATTCATGTATGCAATGCATGAGATCGCACAACCAGTCAAATACTACAACTACAACAATAACAATCCAATAAAATCCCACAAGTGAGATCTGGAGAGGGTAGTGAGTACACAGACCTTACCCCTACCCGATGGGGCAGAGAGACTGTTTTCAAAGAAAACGAGAAGAGACAATACATAAGTACCGTCAACAGAAACTATAGAAATAGTAGCAGCATCATAAAAACCCTAAAATAGATGACATGCAATACAAACTCAAAATCAATAGTAATTACATATTTCATTTTTGGTATGTATAATTCAGGTTTCTCTTACACAAATTAGAACGTCGAGAACAACATTGGCAGTTCAACGTGTTTGTAACTTGCCATGTAATCAACCTATAAAATTAATATAGACAAGTATATTCATAAATCAATAAATTGTTATAACTTGCACTATGACTGTGACTAAGCAATCCAACTGTAGCTATAGGTGCTCAGCAGAGAAGAAGATGGATTACATGGATGGTTTACTCATTAGAGTCAACAATGAGCATTTTCTTGATATGAATGCCTTTGACAGAACGACTTGAGCCGTCCTAGTGCTTCCTCAAGAGAAGGCGGATCCGCTGCAAAGGTTATTCTAATCCAGTTTTTGAGACCCACAGCGAGTCCTGCAAATGTTTTGTTCAAAGAAAGAAGAAGAATTAACCTAAATAGTCGCCCACCCAACACCTTAAACTAAAAATAGTTAGCGGATGAATAATATATGTATAATCTATAATATGTGTATAACCGTATATAATTAGTGTATAATCTATGTATACCAGCTAGGAAAAGTAAATAGTGAATCCGGCCCGGCCAGCTATTTGTCTAAAGATCCCTAATAAGAAATCACCTTGATATTTTTACAAATGCGCGCTCATTTATATCTCCAAACAATGGTTTCCTAAACTATAGACTTCCTTTTTTTGGTTTGCTTCGTGTCTAAATTGTGGTTTTACTTTTTCACTACTACGATCATCATTCTTACTCGATTGTTAGCTCTTACCTGGAAGGAGTATAACAGATTCTTCTTTCGCCAGTTTGAAACAGAAGTCAATATCATCGCTAATGTCTGTCAAAAGTGATAGATTCAGCTTCACCTGCATATGTTAGAGAAATTGTTTTATAAAGGAGAGCATATCCCTGATAAATTTATAGGTGTTTGATTTCTCTTACTGCTCACCATTACAGCCATTGAGCCTTCTGGTTTATGTGGACAGCTAATACAAGGAATCTCCTTTATCTTTTCGCAACAAATGTCTGCTGTCCACTTCAACAAGTTAATGGTTTTCCTGAAGAAAAATTCTTCGGTTTGCTGAATAATGCGAGGGACCGCCGCCTTCAACATCAACGGCTGTTAGTATCAGGTTATTGGCGCAGATATTAAATGACTTGCCTAAAATTCCAATATGGGACAGCTATTACAACCAAATATCTGATAAATATAATTCCAAATTTTATCCTGGGATAAGTATCCTTATCCTGGTAACCAAACGACCCCTAATTGTATTTATGAGTTATCATATCTATAGCTAAAACTCTACAACGCTTTAGACATATAACAATATGAAGGATTAAATGCAAACCTGTATAAAGGTAGCTGGACCTCCGCAAATGTCACAATACTTCTTAATGCGCTCAACAAACTGATAAATCAATTCCATAGAGAAGTCGTGTTATTGCTAATATTAGTATCATAATTCCAGAACTGATATACCAATATTGATCCCTAAGTACTTGATTATGCTGTGTTTGGTACAAACCTTCGGATTTTTGAAGGTGCCGTTGGGATCATTTGTGACAAGCCAACCGAGGCGCCAGCCAGGAACTAACCATCGCTTAGATAAAGAACCAAGAGTAAGCACGGGAGCAATGGCTCCAAAAACTCCCATCGACACAAATGGTTTAGCTCCAAAAGCAAGGTGCCCGTATACTTCATCCGCAATCACTATGGTCCTAAGCTTCTTAGCAGTTTCTGCAATCTGATAAACACACAAACAAATTCTCAGAACTAATGCAGACTGCAAAAAGAAAGGAAAAGAATAGTACTCCACGCGTTTCAATTTATATGTCTTACTTTCCTTTTTTGATCAGTTTCAAAAGGAATGTCACATTTCTATATTTAGTAAATTCGTAATTTCAACATTCCCATTTTACCCTTGATGACACTACTCTGTTTAAGACCACATAATTCAAAGGGTATTTTGGTATGTTGTACACACCTTTAGTTTAAGACGACAAGATGCAAACAATTTCTTTACATTCTTAAACGCCATGGCCAAGCAAACTAAGACATGAAATAAAACGGAGTAATCTTTGTGTGTAAAAACAGTACTAAGAGCAACCTCTTGAAGATGCTGATAACTATAAACATTTCCACAAGGATTCCCCGGATTTATAACAACTATGCCAATAGTGTTACGATCAGCTAGAGCTTCGACGGCATTGAGATCAACCTCCCAGCCCTTGTCTGGAACAAGATCAAAGTATCTAACTTCGATGTGTCTAAAGGCGGCACAAAGTGCATAAATAGGGAAACCAGGCCTTGGTAGCAATATGTTAGCACCGGGGCGAGCCAGAATTGATAAAGCTATTTCAATGGCTTGAGTGCAACCAGCTGTGACATAAACATCATCTGCACATAACTTTTCTGGAAGGTCACGCGACAAATAATCTGCAATTGCCCTGTTCGATCAATAACATGCAACAACAAATTAAAATTAAGAAACCAAGTGGTAAAAGATAAAAATAAAGTAACTTCATTGAACATTCAGAACTTCAATTCAAGAAAAAGAAAAGGAACAGAAAGGGAAAAGAAGTTACTACCTCCTATCCATATTTTCTGCGATCTTTTCAGGTTTTTGCGCATAAGACTGACAGTTAATAACCTTAATCAATCTCACTTAATTAACACTTCACTAATTAGAACAGTATAGGTAGATTCGGAAAGAAGCATTATGATTTCTTGTTTTTCTAAAACGTCAAATATTTTGAAACAAATTCAGATTGCACTAATATTTGGGACCAAAGGGAGTAACAAATATGGAATGCCTACACAATAATAACAAGAAAAGCTCATACTTTTCCTAATTGTATATATTTGCAGTATAATTGAAGGCGAATTAAGGTTGTGGCCTAGTGGTCAATCAATAAAGTGAATTGAAAACCATGAAGTCTCATGTGCAAATACCTTGTGCAGAAATATTAGGTGATTTCTTCTCATCTGTCCAAACCTTGATGGACAGAGTTACTCGGTACTTGATGCGAGATATTAGGTACCTCGTGGAATTAATTGAGGTACGTGCAAGCTGGCCAAGAACATCACGGTAATAATAATAAAAATGAAGGAGAATTAAGGTGAGTGTACATTACTAAAACGTCAAATATTTTGAAACAAATTCAGATTGTCAAAACGACTAATATTTGGGACCGGAAAGAGTAACAAATATGGAAAGCCTACAGAGTAACAAGAAAAGCTCATATTTTGCTTATCTATATATATATATATATATATATATATATATGCAGTATATATGAGCTTCTGTCCATATAAGTGAAGGAGAATTGTGTCCAAGCTTTGGTATACAGAGTTATCTGTGCTGACGGGATGTGACGGCGGGAGGTAGCAGGTAGAGGTGAAGCTGGTGGTCAATATTACACTGTGTATAATGGGTATATAGATAAAATATTAGATGTCTATAATATATCGAACACCCGAACCCGAAGGGGACCTTTTTTACTTCTTTTAAGTTTGAATACTATTCAGAAAATTTTTGGGCAAACTAACCCGACGAACGTAAAACTGAAAAACAATTGAGGTGAAAACATTACCGTCTGGTTTGAGGAAGGCCAACAGTAGGAGAATAACCATTGAATTTGTGAGAAGCAAGAGTTTCAAGAACAGCATTTTGTGCAACATCAGGAGAATGGAAACAAGAATAAGCAGTAGGATCACCCATTCCCAATGATATCACCTTCTTCTTCCTCTTATTTTTCTTGAAATTTCCACCATTTTCTTCATCTTCATCTTCAGTTGTTTCTACATTAGCCATTAACAATCCAAGAATGCCTTTGATTGTAATATTATTTGGGGTTTCAATTTCTTGGTTGTTAACTCCGTCACTCAAATTTGCTTTCACTTTCACCCCATTCGTCTCCATTTTTTTAGTTGAAATTCAGCTCAATTTGAAATTACTCTTCAGCTCTGAAATTGGAAATTTGGTTCGTTATATAGAGAGACAAAAATGATAGTCTAAAATGCAAAGAATAGGAGTGGTTTGCTAAAGGCCACACGTTTTTAGACTTCTAGAGCTTCACGCTCTATTTTTTGTTTTTAACCCTTCCAAATCTTGAAACTCACTAGTTCAATTAATTCACACTCGTCATTTTGTGGGTGTTTGGACATAAAAAAATATAATTTTTTGAAATTAAAAAATAATATTTAAAAAATAATATTTAAAATTAAAGAATAAATTAAAAAATAATATTTAAAATTTGGAATTATGTTTGTACGTGCATTTCACTTGAAAAAATATTACAGGTTTGTGAGCGGGGAAACAAAAATTTCTAAAAAAAATTATTTTTGAAAAATTTCCAAAAATTTATAAAATTTCATGGACAAACACATTTTATTTTTTAAAAAAAATAAAAATAAAGGGAAAAAACTTATGGACAAACGGCCTTAATATTCTGATATACAAAATTAACTAGTTCAATTAATTCATATTCTACCCGTGTCAATCTATTATGGGATAAAATATTTTCTACCAAAAAAGTTTCTATTTTGAAGGCTCAAATTTCGAGACTTTTGATTAAAGTTGGAAGGATAACAACCATCCCATTTCACCTCTCTTGATTTCACTAGACCGAACATATAAGCTCATTAATTCGACCCGTTGAATTTTGTACCGTGTAAACCTACAAAATGAAAAAATATTCGGTAGAGTAAACATATATGAAAAAATGACATTATATATCCGCTTTCAAAATAATAACAAAAAATATATATAATTTATATAGTTTTTATTTCTATATGTTATTTATAAAAAATATATAAAGTTTATAAACTTGTGGGACTAAAATATTAAAATAAAATTCTGCCAAAATTGCTTGAACTGAAAAAAGATCCGTGTTCTAAGTGGGGCCCAGTTTGATACTTGTCGGATCTGTGTATGTGGGACCCATATGATACAAGGAAACTGTCCGTATGCTCTGACGCTGTGTGGTTAAAAGTTTCCCACGCGCCCGGATGAGAGCTCTATACTCTTCGTGGTGTTGAAAAATTATTTCGATTTTATAATTAAGAAATTTGGCGATTTAGATTACTTCTCAACGTACATTATTTCCCTTGATAGTTATACTGATTTTCTTATTTTTCTTTTGAATTTTAAACAGTTTTTAATATACATAATATATATTTTTTATTTATAATGCTACCTTATTTATATAAAAATTAAAATTTTGTGGAGCTTAAGCCCTGGCACGTAAACCTTTCAGAACAAACTTTAGCTACTTTTTGAAAATCTAAAAATCTAAAAATCAAGCTAAAGAGGGTAAATATTGTCCGATTTTTGTATCTTATAGAAAAATATTTCATGTTTAAAATAGATAAAATATGAATAGATTGTGTAAAATACACTAAAATTTGTATAAAAATGTTACTCCGTAAAATCAATTTAAATATTTAGTCACCATAACATATGTACACAATAATTTATTAAATTACGAATTAGATCAAGCATATTACAAAAGGTACTATAAAATATTAAAAAGTTAAAGAAGATATATGCTTAATTTTAGAGCATAGAGTAAGCAACTTAAAAAAAAATAAAAAGAAGAAATTTTTTGCATGAACTATCAGTATTTATTGCTTAACCATGATCAAGTAATCTGTATTACCACTTTTAAGTTTTATTTACCAAACCAATTTTGTACCTTAAAAACATACTTTAAACCAATTTGAGGGCCGAAACTCTTTTAAGTTGTATACGTAACAATTACTGCCACTATATAGATGATTTTGGCTTCTAATATGTGCTAAGTTGAACGAGTAAAAACGACAGAAAGGAATTACATACTGTAAACACTGGATTGGCAAAATCAGAATTTAAATTTTATGAGTTTCACCTTTAATGTTATTAGCATTGAACTAGTTATATTCTTAAAAATTATTAGTTCATATTACTATTTATTAAAATTTTAGTAAACTTTTTATATAAAGCATTGAAATTACTGATTTTGGATGAACCCGATACATCAAAGCTCCAAAAGAAATATTTCTGGTCAAGAAAAAAGAACTAATCCTACATAAAGCATTCGAAATACACCCACATAAAAACTTTATAAAGATTTTTTTTTTTTTTTTGTGAACACTTGAAGAGAAATTATTTTCTTGGTAAAAGTTATTAGGTAGTAAAATATTATACTGTATCTTTTTTGGAACTTAAGAAAATATCTTTAAAAGAACAACTATTCGAATACATCTTTATTTTCTTTTCTTTCCAATTTCAAAAACCTGTCCAAAGTCGAAGCAAGATTTTACACGCAAAAGGAAAGAGTCCATTATAGTTGGAACACCATATGAAATCAAGAAGTTCAAAGATAAGCATTGCAATGTACGCTATATTTACTAACAACCTTTTGTTGCGGGGACTTTTCAAAATATTATCGCATTCACATAAGTTTTTGTACGAGCCAATAATCGTATCAAATAATTAGGATAAGTTTGTATTTTCATATAAAAATCAAAAAAATGCCAAACCAAATCTACTTAATAATGTGTACAAGAATCTCATACGTGTAAGATAAACATAAAAAAAACTACTAGTATTTTGAACCTTTGGAATTATCAAGATACTTCAAATGTTCATCGTTATATGAGGGAAAGTAAAAGGGAAATTGATATCGGGCGATGACATATAATAGGAATTGATAAAAAAAATTGGTCTTAAATTACATAATACATTATTAATTTATTATTTTGATACATAAATGTGTAATAATTAACAGGTTGATACACGACGCCAAATTTCCCAATTGTTTTTCTTACATTGCCTGTTGTTGGGCCTCAAATTATGACAAACGATGTGTTCATTTTTTCATTTTTGGGGTATTATCACTTTTAGCCCGCGCGAGAAACTATTTATACCTGGTAGCCGAAAAAATATATAAAATTTATATAATTTTTGTATATAAATACAGAATGTATATATATATATATATAAAATATATAAATTTTATATATTGTTTCGAATATTATTTTTACAGCGGCTATACAATGTCAGTTTTCCGTTTTTTTTTATCTATCTACCCACTAGCGAAAAGTGATCATGACCCAATTCTTCACTAGTTAGACGCCCAAATGGCGGAGTTATCCAGGAATTTACTATTTATTTTTTTAACATACATAGACTATATATTAGTTATATATAATTATATAAATTTTATACATGAATTATAAACAAAATATACATCTATCAATTTTTTTTTAATTTAAGTGATTGGGTGGACTGTTATTTGGGTTAATTCTTCTATTTTCTTCCCTTAGTTATTTAGCTTTCGTGTCTCGTTTTTGTCTTTATAAGATCTCGAAATAGGCTTCTATATTCATTTATTTTTTAATTTTTAACAATTCAACTTTTTTTTATAACCGTGATGTCCGGGTCAGCTTGCGCGTACCTTGACTAATTCCACGATATACCTATCATCTTCCACTAGCAGATATCAGGTAATTATATCCACCAAGATAACTATTATGTGTATAAAATCTAATCGTTGAAACAAAGCAAATTTAACCATGTTGTTATCATTTCATCAATATTATATGATTTAAAAAGTCAGTGAACATGTAACATAATAGCTATACTATTTTTCAAAGCTGTAAATTGCCTCTTCATACTAATTCCAACATAATAAACGTCTATCGTTCCGTTTTTCTTTTTAATATAAAGTAAAACTAAGACTCACAGTAGGCATTATTCTTCTAGTGGAAAGCATACCTGTAAGTAGAAGTAGATGAAACTTTGTCGAGAAATATTGCAACTGTAGCAACCTTAATTAGCACTTGTGGAAAATTGGGGCTGCTAAGTCTTATATATATATGGCTAAGTGATGGAGCTTTGAGGTACTGGATTTATCTGAATCCTAATTTTTGATGCAAAATATAAATTTACGTTAAGAGGATCACTAAAATTATAATAAATTAGTGGATATAAATTAGTAACTTTACAAAAAAATAATGAGTTAAAGATTGAACCTACAAAATTTAAATTCTAAATGCGTCTGTAACTAAGTCTTTTTTTGGATATGCATAGCATTAGAAGAATATATAGCAATGTGAGTCAGCAGTAATGCAGATGAGGATGAGAAGTCTCACATGAAGACGTCTCTGCCTGTTGGAAAACTAGACGTCGACAAACTTAGAAGGAAGATATAGCTAAAAATGAGTTTAGAAAAAATTTCCAGATGTGAGGTATGATCTTTTTATTCTTAATTAGAAGTTTCCAATTTTACTTTGGGAATAAAAGAATTCCTGATACAGATAGCGTTTCCCTCGTAAAGATGATTCAGAAAACAATATATATTGACAACTTAAATTCTAGTACCAACTTAACAAAAGAGTAGGATTCCAACTTAGAATGGCCAATGAGTTAGCCTAGTACCAAGTGTTTAAAACCAATTAAATCATTAAACATAACTCATTAAAGATGTGTAGCTAGACTATGGTTCATTAATATATATATATA